AGGGTATATGCCCAGTAGTGGGATTGCTGGGTCGTATGGTAGTTCTATTTTTAGTTTTTTAAGGAACCTCCATACTGTTCTCCATAGTGGCTGTATCAATTTACATTCCCACCAACAGTGCAAGAGGGTTCCCTTTTCTGCACACCCTCTCCAGCATTTACTGTTTCTAGATTTTTTGATGATGGCCATTCTGACTGGTGTGAGATGATATCTCATTGTGGTTTTGATTTGCATTTCTCTAATGATTAGTGATGTTGAGCGTTCTTTCATGTGTTTGTTGGCACTCTGTATATCTTCTTTGGAGAAATGTCTATTTAGGTCTTCTGCCCATTTTTGGATTGGGTTGTTTGTTTTTTTGTTATTGAGCTACATGAGCTGCTTGTAAATCTTGGAGATTAATCCTTTGTCAGTTGCTTCATTTGCAAATATTTTCTCCCATTCTGAGGGTTGTCTTTTGGTCTTGTTTATGGTTTCCTTTTCTGTGTAAAGGCTTTTAAGTTTCATTAGGTCCCATTTGTTTATTTTTGTTTTTATTTCCATTTGTCTAGGAGGTGGTTCAGAAGGATCTTGCTGTGATTTATGTCATAGAGTGTTCTGCCTGTTTTCCTCTAAGAGTTTGATAGTGTCTGGCCTTACATTTAGGTCTTTAATCCATTTTGAGTTTACTTTTGTGTATGGTGTTAGGGAGTGTTCTAATTTCATACTTTTACATGTCCCTGTCCAGTTTTCCCAGCACCACTTATTGAAGAGGCTGTCTTTTCTCCACTGTATATTCTTGCCTCCTTTATCAAAGATAAGGTGACCATATGTGCATGGGTTTATCTCTGGGCTTTCTATCCTGTTCCATTGATCTGTATTTCTGTTTTTGTGCCAGTACCATACTGTCTTGACAGCTCTGTGGAGGATGAGGGGGCCTCATGAACTACTCTAATCTGGGGAGAAAAGAGAGGGAGCAGGGTTGAAGGGGTTGGGTTCCAGAGATGCTTAGACCAAGTCAACAGTTTTGCTAAGTCTGTTGAATATGGGGCAAACAGAAGAGAGACAGGAGTTTTGGTTTTTGCCTGGGTGACTGTGTAGGTGGTGATTTCATTAAGTTGGGGAATTCCAGAAGAGAAGTGTTTGAGGTTGGGTGGCAGTCATGGGGAGTGAAGTCAGTTTTAGACTTGTGGCACACGAGACAGCTGTAGATGACCTCGTAGAGATGCTCTTGAAGTGGTTTGAACTCAAGAAAGGACTGGGCTGGAGATGTCTCGGAGTCCAGGTGGTGATTGAAGCCGTGGGATGTGGCTGCCCACAGAGAGGGGGATGCAGGTGGATGCAGGGGAGAAGGGGGCCCTGAAAAGCAGACCGAGAAGGGGCTACCAAAGAAGTAAAGAGGTAAGCCAAAAGAAATTAGATCCTGGAAGCTGAGGAGGAAAAGGCCCTGCAGGACGAGAATCGTCACTGGTGTCCAGTGCCCTCAGAAGACGCCAAGGGAAATTACAAGAAGTGCTTGGCATTTGGCAGTTAGGAGAGAAGTGCTTGGGATCAGGGTGTTTCAGCCCGGGGAGCAAAGGTGATGCTGCAGTGGCTTAAGAGCTGATTGTGGGCGAGGAAGTGGGAGAAACCAGATGAGGAGCTGGGCAGTGAATGGAAGCCAAAGCACATTAGGTGGAGGGGGGCGAGGAACGAAGAGGGGTAAGATCTGTGTGTGCCACACACAGTGGGAGATACTCTATAAAGTCCCGTGTAGTTAAATGGAGGAGAGAAGGAGAATGTGCCTGAAACCTTGGCATGAGGAGCAGGAAGGACCCAAATGTCGCGAGAGACTTAACGTTGAACAGGAGGAGGGTACCCTTGTCACTGAAAAGGGAGAAGAGGCGGGAAAATTGGCACAGACTGAAATACATCTGTAGGGATGACGGTTTTCAGAGAACAAGCAATTGGGGAGTTCCTAGCTTTTAGTAGCCTCTTGCCTCTTAAATAGGAGGCCGATCATTTGGTTGAGTAAGGATGAAAGTTAATGGTTAACAAGTACCCAGGTTGTATTACACAACTGTTGACAATTGGTTTGTCGACCTGCTAAATATGAAGTAATGCAGAGTGTCTCTGAACAGATGTCAGTGGTAGGAAGCCATAGGCATGCCGCTGGAGAGAGTCAAAGGAGGTGGAAAGACTTTCTGTTCCGCACTGTGCTTGAAAACAGTAAAGGTGTATAACCACTTCCTGCTTCTGTCCATCCTCTTTCTATACAGAAAACAGATCCTCTTTTTTTTAAAAAAAAGTTCATTGAAGTATAGTAGACTAACAATATTAGTTTCAGGCATATAACATAGTGATTTGATATTTTTATAGATTGCACACCATACAAAGTTATTATAAAATATTGGCTATATTCCCTTTGTTGTACCTTACATTCCTGTGAATTATTTTCTAACTAGTAGTTTGTAACTCTTAGTCCTCGTCACCTATTTTGCCCCTCTCCCGATTCCCCTCCCCTCTGGTAACCACTAGTTTGTTCTCTAACACAAATCCTCTTCCATGTAGTATTCATGAGATCATTATTTACAAAATCATTTCCCACCAATGTCTTATGGTAAAAGAACTGCTTTTAGAGACACAGAGAGGGAGAATATGAATATGTCTGAGTGGGTGTGTATGTATCTCAGTTCTCTTCAGCTAAAGACCACCAAGAACATACCTGGAGGTGAACAAGCTGAGTTTGCTACTCATTGCAGTAAAGGAAGAACGGACATTATAGGTTACCTCAGGGCAGCTCAGTAAGAGCTGCGAGAGCTGTCATAGAAATTGGGCTTTGGTTCCAGGGAAGCAGGGACTCATTCTGTATTGGGTGCTGTCAGAGGAAGGACGATTCTGTGATTGAATATCTCATTAAATCCTATTTACAGTGAGAGCAGACAAGATTTAGGAAAAAGCTATAGTTGGTAACGAAGTGGCAGTCACTCATTGAGTGACCTTATTTTTGTGTCACTTTATCATAGTCCCAGAATGGCTTCATTTGATATAGATATTCTGTGAGATGATATCCCACAGAAGACCACAGGCCAGATCAGGTTATAGTAACATTGAGGTCTAGCTGTGAATGTTAGATCAATTCCGGCCCTCAGGGACTGCTTTATTTTTCATATATCCATGTATGATATATATATATATATATATATATATATAGAGAGAGAGAGAGAGAGAGAGAGAGAGAGAGAGAGAGAGAGATAACACATTTATATCTTTAAGTCTAATTTTAAAGTGAGATGTTTATCCTTTCCTTGTTTTGGTGAGTGCAGTTTTAATATGTATTGGTAAGAGTTTAAAAAATTCTCTCACAGTGTGGTATTTTATCCATGAATCAAGGTTCATTACTTTAGGATATACTTTTTCAGCTATATCAGTAACATAAAATGCATTATCATTTGGAAAACTTGTTCTCTCTCTGGGGAATGAGTAGAAAACAGAAGGTTCTTACATGGATCCAGGTGGGAAGTGGATGGTGATGAGGGCAGAGGGGAGGGGCATTTTTAGAAATATTTAGAAGGTAGAGTGGACAGAACTTGATGTCAGAATGCAGTGTGTAGGGGAGTCAGAAGGGTGAGGGATGATGCCTAGGTTTCTAGCTGAGGAGTTTGAGTAGGAAGTGATGTTCCTCAACAGGATGGATGGAATGGAGAAGTGACAGGTTGGCCGGGGG